AAGAGTAAGAAGTGAAGCAGTGTTAGCATAAACCCAATCTACACTCCTCTGAAGTATTAAAAAGACTCCCTAAACATCAAATTTGTAAAAGCATTTAAAACGAAAACTGGAAACCACACTTACTTAAGATGCTGAATATTTGGCACTATACATTTATGAGGCACTCTGACTATTTTGGGGATCCCTGTAGTTCCTGATGTATGCAAGACGTACGCTAAAGAGTATTTCTGGCCAACGTCCATGTATCCTCCTTCTGATGTTTTTACTTTGGTTTGATCTGGGCAAATGGTATATCCTGGCTGTGAGTTACCCATAGCTTTGAAAGGTTCATATTTACTTTTCACATCGTCTACTTGTGAATTTAAATCAGTGTTGCTCGAGCTCATTTGGAAGAGAGTTAAACCAATATGTTCTATTGAGGAAGAACTGTGGTAAAACCAGCCAATGTGGGACATCCGGAATTTCTGTAAAAGAAAATAAACAATTTAAACAGCAGAACTCGGGACGCACTGTTATTGTTCTGTTGTATGCAATGAAACATGAAACAATGTTTCATACAAATAAGCCATGATTTTTCATCCCTCTACTTTTGGAGGACACACATCAGAGAGTTTTAAGCTCATGTATTTTTATATATTAAATACGAGTGAACACAGACCTTATAAATGAGAAATAAACATTTCTCTGAGCAAATAATGAAAGGAAAGACAAAATACACAAAAGAATTCTGCAGAAGACAAAGAACTCTGAATTATAACTAGATGGTCCAATCTTGTCTATTCTCTTCGCAATGAGTGAGGGTATAAGCTTTGGGAGGAGTTGGACAAAAGGAAACCAAAGAATTAAATGCAGGAGTTATTTTCAACTATTGCAAAGATTTCCAACTCTCAACCTTGACATACGGAGAAACAAGCCTGGAAAAGCCTTCCAACGCAAGTGCCCAAGAAGCTTGCCTGGACAATACTGTAATAGGAAAGTAGGCAATTTTTTTTTAAGAGGAGGAGAAGCGCTTGGTACTTCTAATTTCAAAGATGTTCTTTTCTGAATGAGGAGGACAACCTCTTGATTTGAAGAAACAAAACAACCCCATCCAAGCTTATTAAAACAGAATACAATCTGAATAGCTACACATTTCTAAAATGCCCTTTAAAGATTCCTGTAGAAGCCTGAACACTTACGTTTATTTTGTCATTCTCAACAAGAATATACTGAAGATTGCTTTTCTTCATGAAATAAGTGGATAACATTGGTGGTGCATCTGGATCAATAGGAGAATAGGCAGCTGGAACTTGAAGGATTCTAACAAGACAAAAACGTTTTAAACTTATTTTAAAAAAAACTAAGAAAATCCTCTTAAATTTCACTAACATTTATTTTATACTTTTATAGTTCCCAGAGCCGGAAAATGTATTCATAACATGACTTTTAAAGATTTTGTTGGAAACAAAGTAGGAAGAAAATTATAATCAGTGTTGCCTTTTGGTATTTTACAGCAAGGAAAATGATTAAAGCTAGATGAAAACATTCAATGTTATTTCTGGCTGTGGTGGTGCATTCCTTCTCCCCCTCCCCCCCTTTTTTTTTCCCAGGGTCACTCTATGACCTCAGGAACTCCTGATAAACTTTGGCTCTCCTGTAATGAGTTGGGCAGCGAGGCGTCCCTTGACTGCTCCCAAAACTCTTGCATGGCCAAAGTGAGGAACAGCACTGACCGTACCGCAACTTTCGTTACCTAACCCAGGTGGGGGACAAAGTTGGGGATAATCCGTCATTCCCTGACACCCTTATCTGAGTTGTAACTCGAGTGGAACGGCACCATTGTTGATGAGATCTTGGCAATTATCACAGGTGACTAAAGCCAATCGTCTGATGAACCTATAAACAGTGGTCCTTAGCAACACCCTTTAAGCTCTCCTGGACTGCAGTGGGCTGCACCCAGAATCTCCCTCTGAGTGGGGCACCTCTCAGAGTTCGCAAACTCTCGAGTTTGTGAGATTCGGAGGATCACCGAGACCTGGGCTGAAAAACTCCTCGGCTGAGATATTCCTCGGGGCTCAATCCTTTGCCCGTTGAGAAATGACAAGGCATTTAATGTGAATACTTCATGAGACTCGAAGGGAATTTTTAACAGGTATACTTTTATAAACTTACCTAGATTTGGTACCATATTCATATATATATAAACATAAATTGATCTAGATCTTTTGTGTGTTTATGTGTATAATCAATGATAAGTATAATCTGTAGTTAAGTTGCTTTAGTAGTTGTACTAAACTTGACTACCTTACTTCATAACTGCCAAATCGGTTAATGACTAAGTATTGTTAGAACCTTATGATTTACCTAAAACTTTAAATTGCTGCTAAACACACATAACCCCTTAGGTATAAAACTGTTGCACAGGTCTGAGACTAGGGGTAGATCCAGCCGCACCTAGACTCCTCTCTGAGAAGGAGTTTAGAGAGCAAGGGGGTCTACTCTGAACCTCATGACTCAACGGGAGGGTCTCCTTATCCCTTTTGTATTAGACACAAGCTGTTGTCCAAGTCTGAGACCAAGACTGGATCCAGCCGGGTCTTCTCTGAACCTCATGACTCAATGGAAGGGTGTCCCTTACCCTTTTGTCTTTCTATAAATCATTCCAACACAATCCTGACACGATTTTCCCTGTGTGTACTTAATCCATGTAACGAGGAATAGAGTGAACCTTGCCACTGAATTTGTTAAGTCGTGCTTTTACAAATTCCTATTAAAATCACTTTTGCTGATACCTTTGACAGTGATTCTTTAAGCAGCCTCAAAACTACTCATTCGCGACATGGGCCAAGGAGGTTGGTGATGACAAAGGTATCACTGACATCAATAGCACCACATTTTAGAAGCTTCAGCTATTGACTAGGAATAGAAATAAAAGCTTTTAATTTATACATGTACAACATGTGTAAGCATATTAAAAAACCCACCAAAAGTCTGCACACTGAAAACACTTTCTGTTCTCACTAGTCTAAAGAATCCAGC